CTGAAATTTGAAAAATTCGAAATTTTCAAAAAAGTATCAGGGTAGCATGAAAATCGAGGAGGTATTCACTGAAATTTGAAAAATTCGAAATTTTCGAAAAAGTATCAGAATAGCATGAAAATCGAAGAGGTATTCACTGAAATTTGGAAAATTCGAAATTTTCAAAAATGTGTCAGGGTAGCATGAAAACCGAGGAGGTATTCACTGAAATTTGAAAAATTCGAAATTTTCAAAAAAGTATCAGGGTAGCACGAAAATCGAGGAGGTATTCACTGAAATTGAAAAATTTAAAATTTTGAGAAAGTAATACTCACCCTGTCGAGTGGTCCCTCTGACAGCGTGACTGCTACTGAGGCAGTTACCGAGTCAGCTGATGGGTGGACACCCCACCATTGGGTGCAGCCCCCTCTTTCTCTTGGGGTGAGTTACTACAATGCCGGTGGGGTCACTCAAGCCCCCATTGAGCGGCTCAGTTCTGGGGGAGTACCCCACCCCAAGAAAAAGAGGGGGTCGCACCTAATGGTGGGGTGTCTACCCGTCAGCCGACTCGGTAACTGTCTCGGTAGCAGTCTCGCTGTCAGAGGGACCAGTCGACAGGGTGAATGTTATTTTCTACTTTACAAAATTGGTATTCACTGAAATTTTGAATTTGGCAATTTCATTTTGGCAATTTCAACCTCTTCGATGTGCATGTTCTCCCGATTCATTACCGAAATTGTAATAAAAAAAATTAGAAAATAAGACAATTATATCGACAATAAATTAAAATCATATATTAAAGTTATTATTAAATTAATCTATTAAAGTATAATATTTCCCATAATTTTAATGTTTAAAATAAATCTTATACAATTCGTAGAATCGTTTACATATTCATTATTCACCCATAATATAGTTATATATTTATTAATAAGGAATTAACACATATTAAAAAGGGAATGAACACCTAATAATAAATAATTTAACAACTCCACTTGATCGGTAATTAACGGAATAATTAATGAGAAAAAACGGTGAAATTCTATTATATGAATCAACAGATTTATCTTGTCGATTGCTTCAAAGGCGAGGAAAAATAATACAAATCATTATTATTATTATTATTATTATTTCTTTTTAATCGATTCCTTATCAAATATTTTCTCCCTTATCACATGGTACAATTCATATTTTCATTTTATCAGAGTTGATGACTGTCTATCTCTATGAAGATTTGAAAGTCGATTTTATCTGATCATCCTCTTTCTTAATGTCTTTTATCGATGATTGAAACATATTCACGTACATGAAATCAAGTACACAATCACAGTTTCAAGCTGGTCAATCAAAATTGTTGTTTTCTGTGATGATACCACATTATTTTTGCTCCCATTGATAATGAATTCTTTATTTCCTTACCACTCGCTAATTATTTGTGGAATTGGACGTGAATTCATTAAAAATCGGCAATCGTTATGAAGAAAATTGTAAATAAAATGGAAAATCTTCTTATCTATTTAAGAGTCACCAGAAATTTAGAGTTCTCTCCGATTTTTCCACACAATTTTGAATTTTAAATCGGCATTCGGAAATTTCTATGACGTCGCGAGATAACGATTTTTGAGATTTCTGAAGAAAAATCGAGATAAAAAATTGGGAAAAATTCAGGATTTCCCAGTGTTTATGGGCGAGTTTGTGGGGGTGAGATCGAAATGCGTTTTGTTGTAAACACTGAGGAGATAAGGCTTTGGATATCGATATATAACGAGTAAACCCGCGGAAATACAATTAGTACTGTTTCGGGTGTCCGAGTATGCGTGTTCACGGGATTTTCGTCGTCTTGTCGACGATTTATGTGGGATTTAGTAGTTGTGCTGTTATTTCAGGTATTCAGGTTCTATCATGATTTATGTGCCGTCGAAACGTCGTAACGATTTTTGTGAAAAAAAAACGATTTTTAATGCCGACAATGTGAAATTTTTTTTAACAATTATTTGATAACGAATTAGTTCATTTCTTGAAGAGCAGTTCGGGAATTTTTTTTGGGAAATTCTCTGCATTCGTAATTTATTAAAAACTCAATTGTATTTACTGTCCAAATTTGGAAATGAACCTGAAAAATTTAGTCTCCATTAAAAAACGCTGATTATTAAATAAATAAAAAACTCGATTTTCTTAAATTTTCAAAATTAATAAAAAATTTCTTCTTTTCAATCGGAATTTAGCTCAAATTTATTAAATAGAATACCAAATAATTATTTTTAAAAATTGAAAATAATAAAAAATAACTAATAAAATAATTATAAAAATAATTATTTGTTATTGTACATGTATATAGGATTATTTATTGAAAAGTCTCGTGTTGGTATATTTTAAATATATAATATAAATATATTTAAAAAATCTAACAACATTTCTGGGAATAAAAAAATAATAATGATGTTATATTTATTTTATCGTAGAAGAATTAAAGAATAAAATGCACGAAATAATATTAATGATATTAATAACAATTTTATTGATGATATTGATAATGTTGACGAAATTGAATGACTGAGATTTATTTATTTTTCAATAATTATTGTATTAAATAATTATTGCAGATATTGCAGCTGGGACAGACATTTTGAAAGCAGATCTCTTGGCAAATGAAATAATCCACTCTGCAAAATCAGGAGGTCAATCTCTGAGTTTCACACGTGCGCTAGGCGATTTAATTTTGCCCACAGAATGGCAGAGACAGGATTTTGCGACTTTCGAGGGAATCAAAGCGGGAGTCATGTGTACAATCTGCAAAGCATTTTCAAAAGCTGTTCTAACTTTGAGACGAACTGGAACACCTGCAGACACAATTCAACATACAATTGCTAATGTCTGTACATTATTGAATATTCAAACGAAAATTGTATGCTATGGACTTGTCAGACTCAATACCGTAAGTCTAATATATTTATTGCTAAAGTTTAATATATTTATTACTAGATGATTTCGTTATCATTTATCGATCTGAGTGTTGCTACTATAGTCGACTGGTTTTTTTTTTCGTGATAAAGAAATTCCAACTATTGTTATCTGTCATTGAATATTTCGAATCGTTTAGATTAAAATCACTTGATGATAGCTCCACTTATTGCTTCGAGGCGAAATACTAATTACCAGTTTGTCATTATTTTATTATTGATTGTTGTTCATTTTATGTTGACCCCTTTTATCGGAAGATGTCAAATGTCAGTTGAGAGGTTCAGAGATTTTTTTTTTAGTTTCTTGAAATGTTTATAATTACGCAAGTCGGATGTGTTTAATCGTATCTTTGATAATTCTGTGATGATGATGATTGAAGATGGAAGGAGAGGCCTTGACATTAAAAATAAAAATTAAAGAGAGTGCGTAGGACATTTTGCCTTGGGAATTCTCGGGCAACAAGTGATGGATTTATCTGAAAATGCGTTCAAGAATTTCTTCACTTGATCGGAACAGAATGAAATTAATTGAAAGTCGTTTGGAGAAGATGAATAATTTTAATAATTATTTAAAAACGCGAGGTGGGAGCATTTCAGACGCCATTACCAAACTGTCTTTTTTCTCAATCTTCACAAGATGGCAGTACCATCGTGCAATCCTAAGGGAATCTTTATTCACTAGATAATCCATCCTGCCTCCAAAATCAAAAAAATATTTCTATAATTAAATTAAAATAAAAATAAAAAAATAAAATTTTTTGCCGAGCATTTCAATTTTTTTTTTCTCTTCACGTCTCTTACAATTTGAACACACATCAATTTTTCGAAACGATAATTAAGATTTAATTTTGTATAAATTCATAATCAGATTCAAAATAACTAGAATTAATTGACAACAATTGAATTTCTTTAATTCCAGCCAATACTACTGCATATTATCGATAATGACCCCACACTGAACCACAATGACGTCTGTGGACTCATCCTTCAGAATCAGCAATGCAATCCTCCGCCTCCGAGATATAACTGGACGGTTGAAATTGATAATAGCTCACCTTTGGTTTTTGACGTAGAGCCATCAACAGAGAGCATTAAAATTCTTCAGATAACTGATATACATTACGATCCTCTTTACGAGCCTGGTGGCAATGCAAATTGCGATGAACCCACCTGTTGCAGGCGTGGACAGAATAAAACTGGAGGCAATGACAAATCGGCTGGATTTTGGGGAGATTTTAATAACTGCGATGTTCCATGGCACGCAGTGCTCGATGCCCTAGATGAAATGAAGACTCGACATGGCGTAAGTTATTTAATTTAGATAATTAATTCATTATTTTTATTACATATATTAATTGACTATATACATATATAGTATATATGTAATATATATGTATATATAATTAAGTGTATGCACATGAATATTTAATTAAGTATTCATGTGCATCCAGATAATAATTTTGTAACTGATCTATAATTTGATTTTTTATTTTCTTATCTATTTTTGTTTAAAAAAAGAATCATATGATTATCACTATAATCAGCATTTTTTGCTTGGATTTGTTATGAGAATATGGAATAACAAAATTATTTAATAATAAACAATAAATTTGATAATTTATAGGGAAATCATGGAATAATTATTTTTAAAACATGGAAATTATTCTTAAGTCGATATTTTATTTAAATAATTAAAATGTTTGGTTGAATTTCAGTCTGGATAGTTTTGGTTGATGATCGGAAATTTTGCACTTTTGATTCAATAATTTTTAATTAATTAATAAAGAGATAAAATATTTTTGAAAATCAGGTCGTGAGAGGGACACGACAAGAGGAAAAAAATTATAAAAAATCATGAAAATTAAATGAAAGCCCTCAATCATTTTTTACTTATCAGTACTGATAAGAGTATAAATATAGAGGAGAATGGAGGATAGATAAATGGAAATTAATGATAGCAAATCTAGGCATCAATTTGAATACTCATGGAATTTTTCTGAATGTTTCAGGATGCGGATTTGATTTATTTCACTGGTGATATTATCGATCACGGAGTTTGGGAGACGTCTCGTAGTGCGAACAGCCGAAGTCTCCACAAAATTTTTAAAAAGATGAAGGAGACTTTCCGAGATCATCCAATCTATCCAATATTTGGAAATCACGAGCCGCATCCGTTGAATCAGTAATAGACTTTGGGTTTATTAAATTAGTGAAGGTTCTGGTGGATTTTTCTAATTTGTTAATATTTTTCTAGGTTCTCGCCTGATGATATTGATGAGGACAATTTGTCCACTAAATGGCTGTACGAATTATTAGCTGATACTTGGATCGAGGCTGGGTGGCTACCTGAATCCACGAGAAATACTATTCTTCAGGGAGGATTTTACACTGTCTCCCCGAAGAAGGGCTTCAGAATTATTGCTATTAACAACAATGTGGCATACATATATAATTGGTAAGAATTCCTAGACTGATAAGATTTTAAAAAAAACTAGAACTCATTCTCTTTAAAAAAGGAAAAAATTTTCTATAAAATTCCAGTGGGTTTTTCTTGAAAATTTAATGAGTTAGGGAAGACCCGGGCGAAATGGGACACGAAATAAAATTGAATGCCGGTGAAATTGGCGCCAAAAGGGAAAAATCGATCGTAAAAATCCATTATTCAATATTTCACTTTCTTCAGAATTTTTGTTAACTAATAAAATAATGTTAGATTACCAAATAATTTTACGATTCTGAAAAATAAAAAAAAGCAGGACAACAACAGGATAATCAAAAGAAAAAAATTAAATTCTCAAAAACACTGGGACACTTCTAGATTTTTCAGCATTTTTCGACAAAAAATGAAGAACGACTGGGCATGCGTTAAAAATGTCTTTCTATTATAATATTATAATTCTTCTCGATTTATTATAATTTATCTTCATTGTTAAGGATTTTCCACATCCATATAGCCATATATGAAAAAATTCGCATTTTTTAAAATTATCGATGGGATTGAGATAAAAAAATATGACGTTTTAGTAATTTGTTATTTAATTGCTCACGAAGTTTTATAATAGTGCAATGATTTTCTCAATTCTCTCTATAATTCTGTGATAAAAAAAAAAGTTTATAAAAAACTGGATGATCTAAAAAATTTATCAAAACTTGATTTATCTAAAAAAATAATAAATGTTATGATTATTAAAATGAAATTGACAGGTGGATGATGTACAAACCGAATGATCTGAATGGTCAGTTGAAATGGTTGGCAGAAACATTGCTCGATGCTGAAAAAAATGAGGAGATCGTGCACATCCTTGGGCACATGCCAGGGGGTTCCCCGCACTTCCAACACACGTGGAGTCGAGAATATCGAAAGATCGTTAACAGATTCGCTCACATTATCGCTGCACAGTTCAATGGACACACCCACAACGACGAGTTCAATTTATTTTATCATCCTGATAATAGATCCAAAGTAATTAATGTCGCTTGGAATGGTGGGAGTATAACTCCGTACGCTAATCTCAACCCTAATTACAAGGTCTATCAAGCAAATGCCAATACATACGTGAGTATTTACTTTCTTTATTTTATTTATTGTCTTCAGGAGAAATTTAACTCAATTATTCATTGATTACGATTTCAATAATCGGTCAGGATAAATTAAGATGAAAATTAAACTATTGTTAATGTTATTTTTTATAAAATTACTGCGAATTTAATAATGAATTTGTTTTTTAATAGATTTAACGACTTTAATTAACGACTATGAATGAAATTTTATTGAAGCGTCGGCTGTAATTAAAGGAATGTAGAGTGGAATTGAATTTTTTATTAATTATTAATTATTAATTTCTAATTTTTTATTAATTATTTTATTTTATTTTATCTTGACCGTAAGATGATTATTAAAATTGCAATGAATACGAATGATACGAATGGAGTCGATGTTGATTTTAATTTTAATGATTAATTTAATGATTTATGATTGATTGATTAACAGGAAGTGGAAGAAGTAGAGACTTGGCTCTACAATTTGACAGAAGCTAATTTGACACCGAGTCAGCGACCGCGTTGGCAGAAAACTTATTCATTCAGGGAAGAATATGGTCTTGATAATTTATCGAACGAGACTCTTCACGATTTAATTCTTGATATGACTCGGGGTAGAACGAGTCTGGACTCTTATCACAAGTAAATCATTGTGGAATGGACAAAAGATAAAAGATTACGAGTAAACTGCAGGAGTTAATCTTAATTATAATTTTCAGAAATTTTTATAAACATGCTGAACCTGAATTGGCGAAGGAATGCGATTGGGAATGTCTGCAAGATCACGTTTGCACAATTGTCACTAGCAGCAGTGATGACAAGAGTCAATGCCAGTACTTTAGAAGTCAGAATGAAAAACGTTCACCCTTGCCTAATTTAGGAGATCTCCCATCCATTCCATCAATCGCCAAGGACAAAATTCTTGGGACGAAAATCTTGAAGAAATAATACTTGGTAAACGTAGGGTATCACTCCACCATGCCCGATTTATTCCTAGTTTTTTTAGAACACATCGTCTTTAAAGACGAAGGTTTACCTCTTTCTCCATTATTATCCATGATTGTTCTTAGAAATAATAAAATATTCAGTATTTATAAATATATCTTTTTTTCTACGATGTTCCTATTGGAAAGCATTGACTAAAGATTTTTCTTGTTTTAAAATGAAAAAAAAAATTTAACACTTAAATTTGTTACGTTAACAATGATTAAATAACAGTTAATTTTAGTTTACTTAATCCTGTTCTGACTGCAACTCTTCTCTGATATATTTGTTCTGATATTTTTAAATGTATTTTTATTTTTATTATTCAGATATTATTCAAATATTATTCAAATTATTCGAATATATATTGTTGTATTATTCCAAACGATAACCGAAGGAATTTCAGGATTGAAATATTTCACTAGATAATTTCTGTAATTTCCGATTTTTTTCCACCTTTTCCACTAAAAAAAAATCAAATGGCGAAATCGCACGGAATTAAATATTAAAAGTCTAATTTTTTTATTAACAAAATCGAATGCTTTATTACGAAATAAAAAGGTCCTTAAAATTAATTGTCATGACGACAATGGACACAATAGTAATTAATACTGATAGGTTTGAAATGTTCATTGGTTCACTAAAGTGACGACCGAGCTCGAGACAGATTTTTCGTCTCTTCGTTTTATCGGTAGAATCAACGAGACTATGAGGCAAACTGTAAAAGAATTAATTAAAATAATCAGTAATCCGATAATTGAATTAACAGCTGAAAGAGGAGAGGAGAAAACCCTTAAAATAATAATTAAACTAATTACCTATGAGTTGAACTATAGTACTACTAATGAAAATGACGCAGTGATTATCGATCAAATGTCCCATCAGTAAATTTCCAATGACCGATCCGATTCTTCCTAGTAAAACTCCAAGCGATGATGCTGTTGCTCTGAAAATAAAATAAATGTAAACAATTATGTAATTGGGGATAATAATTGTGAGAATTTACCTGATCTGCGTGGGGTACAATTCTGTTATCACTACGAGAACGAGAGCTGAACTGATTGATAAGAATCCCTCGTAAATTGAGGAGAGGATGAGATTCTGCGTTGACGATCGAACGAAAAATAGTCCCACTGTTACAGCCATTGCGACTGTAGAAGAAGAGACTGAAAAATTTATTTAAAAAATGCAGTAGAGTAACAGAACATGGAATCACGTGTGAAAATGAAAGAAATCGAAAAAATCGGTAAGGGTAATCGTTCGTAAAAATCGTTAAAGTTCCTTGAAAATTTATTAAAGGGTCGCAGTAGGCAACAGAACATGAAATAACTTGTGCAAATGAAGAAAATCGGAAAAATCGGAAAAATCGGTAAATACAATCGCCCGTAAAAATCGTCTGATTATCTTAAAAATATATTCAAAAGTTGCACTAGCCCAAGAGAAGACGAAATAAGTGAAAATTACCGAAATCGGTAAAAATCGGTAAATGTAACTTTAATGTAAGGTAAAGAAAAAATTTTTTTCTCCATCACCGAATGAATTTAATCGATTAGCGATCGCCGAACGATCGAAAGTGAGTGATAACCAGTGGAATACTCACCCAAGAAAAATTTAAATCCTAATTTATTTACAAATAATGGCACCAGGAGATTTGTTGGCAAACAGGCAGCTCCAAGTATCAACGTATGGTGGAATACTTCAGTGGGAATATTCGGCAAACACTTGCTGACGTTAGCCTGCGATGAGAATTGAATCGAGATCAGTTGTAATTGAATTAAAATTCTGAGATAAACAAATTACAATTATTCAAATACTCTAGGTGTTCTTACAGTAATTGTCGAGTTTTCTGCGGGAATTGCGCTGCAAATCCATGCACTTTCATTCGGAAACATCTCTTCGAAGGCAGCGAGTCTTCTAACCAACTCTGGAAACCACATGGTGAAGGAAAAGAACGTCGATGCAACGCAGTACCAGAGAATACAAATGAGTAAAGTCTGTGTGAGGAATGGAGGTCTAAATAATTTCCCAGTGTTCCTCATAATGTCCCGCAGTATTTTCTCAGCTTTCTCACACTTTGAAGATTTTTCCGACGCACTTTGGTTTTCCTTCAGCTCCAAACGCCGCCGAAGATCGTCCAGACCGTTATCTGTCAATTTTTGCTGCAATTTCCATTGGAAAGTTAATTAAACTAATTATTTTACATTTGAAGGCTTCAGTCATTCATTGTTCACGTTAACTCATTCAATTTGAATAATTTTTTATTCTCAGACTAGTACTGAAACTGAAACTCAAATATTCAGGGTTTAATAACGTAAATTTTTTTTCCAGGTGTTCATCATTGCAGGTGTTCATCAATTTCCAGGTGAGTTCATCATTATTATTGGCAGTTATTCGTTCTCTTAAAATTACTCACCAAAAAAATATCGAATGATTCTCCAGTATTCTGCGAATGCATAACGTCCAACGCTTTTGCGAGATCTGCATCTTCTCCTTGTGCTGCCAAATATTTGGGGCTTTCTGGAAATGTCAAAAGCCAAATTCCCAAGGCCGGTGCCAATAATGAGTACAAGAAGACGAAAAGATTCCATGAGTGAAAGAAAAAGTAATCGGTTGTGTACGAGACATCTAGAGGAATTATCAAATATCCAAGAACTGAAAAAAATCATTATAAACAAATTTATCAATATAAATAACAATAATATAATAAAATAAATTTAATAAATTTGATAAATAAATTCATAAATATAAATTTATAATATTAATGAATTTCATAAATTTCATAATATAAATTTATAATATTAATGAATTTCATAAATTTCATAATATAATTAATTAAATTTTATTTAATTAATTTATTCCACAGGTGTTTTTTTTTTCAAGGGGTTTATGACTTTGGTAATGACTCAGGTATGACTCTAGCGTAAAATGATGGATTTGCATAACTCATGTTGTTTATTGGTAAATTATCTCGCTGGGAAATAGTATGAGGTGATAACGAGAAAAACAGATATTTTTTACATGAATTGAGAAAAGTATTACTCAAAATAGTTTTTTAAGGGATTGCTTCCTTATTTCTTCATTCTGGAAATATTAATCATGAGAAGTTTTCTTTTGACAGGAAATTTTCCCATTAATTCTCCGAATTTTAATAGTATTCCGAATTTAATATAATAATAAAAGTGAATATGTAATAGTTTAATTGATAATTCAAAAAAATTTATGCGTTTTTTAAACATTATAATGGATATATGAAAGTATTTTGTAAAATTGTTAATTAAAAATCGTTATATGTTGATATGATTGGTGTTTTTTTTTTTAATTAACCGTTTTTTTTTAAAATTATAAACTCGATATTTTTTTCGGGTTGAGTTCAAAGGAATTGGGATTTATTTATTATTATAAATAAACATAATTCCATTTCGGAGTCACGAAATTGGTGGTAGGAGTGGACTGATTCGAAATTTTAATTGTCAAATGATTTTTGTCATTAAATCATTATATTTTGATTATATTTATTATTATTATCATTTAATATTTTCCTCTGCCCGAAGTTCAGAATTGATTTTTTGATCTATATAATAATACAGGAATTTTTTTGTTAAAAAGAAGAAAAATTCTTAAGCTCTTGTGGTATTTCTATTTGTTTATATTTTTTACGCAATTAAAAGTTGTCCAACATTCCAGGAAACCCAGAGGAGTCGGTTTTAAGACTCTGATAATTTACACGTGAGTTTTTTCTATTTCCACTATCTGCCTTCAACATTATACATGATATAATAACTATTGTCTTGGAATGTTTTTCAAAAAGAATATTCTCCACCCAATCATGGGATCAATAAAAAACTTTAAACCTTAAATTTTCAAAAAAATCAATTTAAAATTTCAGAAAAAAAATTACTCCTCAAAATTATCGAAATTTTCGATTCTAATTTATTTTCAATTTCCGTATAATTTATTTTTATTTTATTACAGTTTTTTTAATCATAAACTTGTGCAATAAAAAATTGTTTTTAATATCAAAATGCACTTTTAAAAATTTCAATCGTTCACTGAGAGCAAGTACTTTTGAATATTGAAATGTTTGATTTGAATTTACCATAAATTTTCGTAGAACCCTGGACTCAACGATTGTTATAAATTCTGATAAACAAATCTCTTGAATTACAATTACAATTAAATAACAATTAAATAACAATTACAATTAAATCAATAAAAATTCGAATTTTCGATTTATACTACACCGGAGTTTTTTGACTCATCGAAATAATTATGAAAATATTAAAAATTAATTTTAAACAGTTGTTTAAAAAACTCACCAGGCAATGCGATCGTTCCAACAACCCACGCTAATTCCAATGTGCACAAAACTTTTTTCCTGAGAATCGGCGGTTGAAATTCTCCAACATACGGATATACGATTGCATTCTGAGCAATTAATCTATAACAATGAATGGAAAATGAATTAATTATTTAACTGATCAATGAATTACTCAAGCAATTGATTAATTAACTGATTAATTTATTGATTGCATGCCTGGACTTACGAAAATCCACTGAGAAATTTGAAGAATATGTAACCCCAGAAGTTCGATATCAAGGAAGAACTCATTTCAAATAATCCTTGAGAGAATAATGCTATCACAAGGGCGTATTTCCGTCCATGCAAATCTGCTAAACACCCCCAGAAGTAAGACCCAACAATCATCCCTGAAATAATAAAATTATTAACAAATTAAACACACTTTCCTCCATCACTCTCCGAATAATTAAATAAATTCTAGATTAAATCCATTTGCAATTCGCATAATGGAAATAAGATTTCAAATAATAAATAGTCAAAAGAAAGAAATGTCTTTGCAATAAATAAATAATTGAGTGTATAAATAAATAACTGAATGAATAAAAATTAATGAAGACAAGAAATTTAATTTGAATTTATTGACGAGGGATTTTAATTACTGATTATTTGTTTTTTAATAGAAAATTTAATAAATTAAAATAAATTTAATTACGAAAGTAAAAGGATTAGTTAACAATTAAGGAATTTAGTGATTTTTTCAGATTGTTGTTAGGGGTCAGAAACTTTGGGGAATTATTGAATGGGAAAAAGTAAAGATGACGACGAACTTGAACATCTGCAAAATGATATCACGAAGATTTAATCATTAGATTGATTACTCAATTGATTACCTGAAAATGGAGTTGCTGTCATGAGACCTTGATCCATTGTTGTTAAATTAAAATCACACGCTGACGCCGGAAATATCAGACTTATTCCATTTGTTGTAAAGCCGGCGTTTAACAGAATTAATGAATTTATCACTACCATTTTAATAGTAAACTTTCCAATCCCTGAAAATATAAATAAAATAAATTCAAACGAATTTTAGAATATCCTCGGGAATTTCAGAACGCAATAAATTACCAGTTAATCCGATCGCTGTGTCAATGATATCTTCATCTGTTGACGCACCTGAAAAAATTATTTTGCAATAATAATTAACCGTTTTTTAATAATTAAATATTTATTTTAGAATTTATTTATCACTGACCGTTCGGTTGCTGCTCAACAGTCATTTTATAAAAATTATATTTTGCAAAAATATAATTATTTTCTGTTGGTTTTGTTGATTAAAAAAAATTGATGATTACTTTAATGTGTAATTAATTATATTTTTATTAAACTCTAGAATTTGAATTTTGTTTTTTAATTTGAAATTTATTTTGGGACGAATTTTTGGCGCGGTTTTTTTTTCGAATATTTTCTTCACACTTTAATTAATTTATTTAATTTTTTATTCGTGGGGTTTTAACAGATGAAAAAATCATTAAGTCATTTCACTTCACATGACGATTGCACTCTGCCTGACGATTTTTTCGACTGACGTACGATTTTTTTCCTCTCAGTCATTCCCCGCAATGTGGAAATAAGTGATAAATAGAAAATGAACAAAAGTAATTATTTCTCGGTGATTATCGTAGGCCGTTTAAAAATAGATTTTTGAATTTAAACCAAAGTTGCCTTTGACGTTGGCAGGAGCAATAAATAATGAAATAGCATTGGCTCTCCAATAGACTCGATAACTGAAGTTTTCCTTCTTCACGATTATTGACTAATGGGAGATGATCGCTCGTTCTCTTCCTTTTTTGTCTTCACGTGGTTCTCGGGACTTCCCCGTACTTTCTGTAAACTTTTCAGATGCGTGATAACACAAAAATTATTCTCCATTTTCAAGTGCGTGCGGTAATGTACAACATTGAGAATTTTGGAAAGTCAGGGAATTATTATTATTGGATTTTTAGAGTAATTTTTGAAAATTGAATTGTGTTTTGGGTTTGATTTTGAATTTTTAAGGGGAAAATTTAAAATTTAGTGAAAGTTTAGCGGATTTTTTTCGATTGAAATTAAATTCCGAATCGTTTAATTACAAATAATTGCAGGGAAATTGCAGACAATTTTTTTACCTTCAAAGAAAAACATTAACAAAGCTTAGATAACAATTTTTGAATTCTGTAATGAAATTCCGTGGAAAATTAAAGAAAATTAAAGAAAATTAAAAAAAATTAATTGTTTAATCTTTTGAGTTTGATTGAATAATTATTCCCTAAATTGTAATTTACCCAGAAATTTCGAAACTCTCTCTTCATTTTTATAACAATAAAACGTTGAATCACTTTCAATTTAAATTAAAACAATTAATTTGCAATCAATTAAAATTAATAACCACAATATTCCATTGAAAATCAATTTTAAAAAATCAATCCGATCGAAATAAATTTCTCTCCAACTCCCATTTAAACAAAAGTTAAATAATAATTTTGATTTCACCTTGAAATGTCAATATGACTCGAAATAATTTTTTTTTAATAAAAAACATTCATCTATTCACTGATGAATTTATTTTTCGTGATTGCGTTTTATTTTCCAAAAAAATCTATTAGCAAAGACAGAAGTTTATAAACATTCCTGATTATTTATTCAGTTGTAAAAATATCTCACAATTAATATTTTCTGTAAACAACTAAACTCTGGAAAGACGGAGATCTGTTGATGAGATCTGTCGAGTACTTGTTAAGTACAACATTTTTCATGAAGTCATTAATATGTTTAAACATATGCATAAGCTGATAGCTGTAAGTCATCAATTATTATTCCTGAAACGTTCCCAGAAGTAACTCGATTGTCACAAACAAATAAAAATTTAACAATAGACAACCGTGTGGGTATAACAATAGACAGAAAATCCAATTGCACTAATGATTTGTTGCAACAAATTTATTTGTTATTTCAAACATTTTTATTTGCGTTCCTCCTAACATTGTTTATACAATAAATCTCAACATCTAACACAGAAATTAAATATTCAATTCAATTAATAATAACAATAACAACATACCAATCCATTAACATTATTTATAATTAATTATGAATTTGAATTATAAATTCTGTAGAGACAGATTTAATTGTTGCAAAAATTGTTGCAAAAATTTATTATTTTCAGTTTAATCTTTAATGTTCCGTTGACACCATAATCATTAATTAATAATATTTCTTGTATAAAATAAATAAACAATGGAATTTATCATTTCGATTAATTTTTTTATTTATTTCTCTGAAAATTCTCTGATGAAATATTCATGATTAGATTAGTGTAATCTTGATATGTAATTATCCAATTGTTTTTCAGGTAAATCAAGTGGTAGAGGGGGTATTGTTAATAAATGCATATTTTACCATTACGTAATTAAAAACCTCCCCCTCCCCCCTACCCTATCGAAGTCATTGCGGAGCAATTGAAGATTCAATTAATCCCTCAGTTGAATTTCGGTGAAATGCCGATCCAGTGATCCGCCCTGAGAATTAAAATCGTTCTCGGTAAGAAGATTTATTATTTATTTATTTATAATATTTATAATATTTTATTTATAATATCAGTCAATTAATTCAGAAGGAATAATTTTGAATATTTTATTTATAAAATTAAAATTATTTATTCTGCATTAGTTGACTGCGGTTAATATGGAATGTTAATTAATAATCAATGTAAACAATAATTATGTGGATATATCATTTTTGTGTGGACACGTGTGACGAGAACGTACGAAAAAAAATTGAAATGAAAAATTGAATGAATGTGAAGTTTAGATGTTTTGTTTAATATTTTAATGTTTAATCAGTCTATGGTTGTTAAGAAATATTTCATTTATGAATTATTATTATTTTTTCAGGTGCTTATGTCGAGTCACAAGTGGAAAAGCGAGAGACTGCGCACATTTTCCAGGAAAATCGCAGATTGAGGGGATTTCCACACGTTCGATGGAATTCTCTTAGTTAATTAAGTTTTTTAGTAGAATCTTTAATTGTGATGTGATTTTTTAATAAATAGTCGGTTAAAACCTTTGGAATTCCATGACCTTTGTAATAGGTAGAGAAGACGTGAGCGATAGAATCAGAAGAAAATAAACGTCCAGAGATTTCTGATATGATTTGAAACGGGAAGTCCTCGATTCTGTTGTTGGAGATTCTCTTCTAGATTATCATCTCCATCAGAACATCTATCAGTCATTTCAGATCTGTCCTCTGCCCTCTAAATATTAAATCCGAATCAACGTGTTCTGTTTAAAAATTATTTTTATCTCAATTCTTTTTCTCAGCACTCAATTAATTTAACGGAATTATTTAATCTCAATCACTCAATTTTGAGTAAAAAAAAAAATCAAAAATCATTTACGTTTTGGGGACGAGAAATTTTATTAAAAAAAAAAAAAGTTTTTTTTTATTTTTTATTTTTTTTTATAAATTTTTTTTTCTCATTCTCTGAGAATTTGATTATTTAAAAAAATTGATTATTTAAAAAATCAAAATACTAGTTCACAACAAAATATTTTCAATTATAAGAGCCGAAATTAAAAGTTAAATGAAAAAAAAAATATATTATTAAAAAACGGGTTATTATCATTATTTAGATTAACCCCCAGATTAACTCCCCCATTAAGTAACAAATGAAATATTGTTTAAATAATTTATATTTAATCTATTGATGACAGAAGATTTGTAAAAATGTTTTCCCGATTTTTTTGAGACTTGCGAAAGTTTGAGAAGACATTGTTTATTCTTCCCTTCGGAGTATCAGGTCAACAAGATGTTGAATTAACTTGCAAATATATTTCGAAGTAAATTTTTTCATAGGCAATAATTGCATGCGGTTGTACACTCGCAATTGTCGCTTATCGTCCTCATAGTGCAATCGAGTATTCAAGCGACAACACGAAAATATCATGCAGCCTACCGCTCTTTTGTTTGTTATTCTATCAATTTTTATGGGATACGCCTGGACTGATAATAAAGGTAATAAACATTAATAAATTTATACTAAATACTCAATAAAAAACCTAGCGTTTTTAACTTAAGACTTGTACTTCCACTTTTTTCCCCAATAGTTTTCAATTATTTCCCCTTTTTCTTCAAAATTTATTTGATTTATTTTATTTTATTAAAAATATATGAAATTAGAAAAATCAGTTGATATTCTATTAATTTATCTATTTATTAATTAACAAACAAGTGATTTGTTGAAATTGATTCCATCGAATTGATAGGATTTTTATTTGAATTAATTTGTTTATTGAATGGATTTTTTTTAAGTTGACACGTCGATTGTTTAATAATTTTATGATAAATAATGAGTTATGGGGATATAAAAAATATCTAAATGTTTTTATGGGGAGATTTTACGGTTTTTAGAATTGACGGGAGTTCTTTATCAAAATTAATGTCAATATATTTATAATAAAATGGATAAACATTCAGTGGAATAAAAGCATAAAATAACAAATAAAAATTATTTATAAATGTTCTACTGAAAAATATAGCGACAATTATCCTGAGGAGAAAATAATCAAAGTTTATAAACAAATTGTATCCATGACATAATTTTTTCATTATTAACATTCATGTGAATATTCAACAATTACTAGTTTCAATTTTTACATACAACAACCAGGAGAAGCTCTTATCAACAAACATTGCCTAATTGTTTCAATTGGGAGAGACATTCAACTGATAATGACAATAATCTACTTGCAAATGAGTCGATAATTATTTTTCTGATAATTGTTCATCGGCGAACCATAAATTACAATAACAATTTATCAAAATTTTAATCGAATAAAAAATTTATGGATTTCTCGAAAACATTTTTCAACATTTTCACAACTAAACGGCATTTTTTAAACAAAATTACACTAACAAATTGCACACGTGCAGCAAATGTTTAGTTCATGAATTTTTTACGAGATAAAAACCCGCGATTTGCACTCGGATAAATAAATTAAAAAATGAGATATAAAAAATAATGAAAAATAATAACAAGTTGAATATTAATTTTATGGTAATTGTAATGTTTAATTCATTTATAATTCTCTCTCACTCATTATTTATGGCGAATTATTGTTTTTTTTATAAATCCCGCAAAATGTCTCATATTTTTTCTGAGGAAATCTTTTTTATTTTCTATTTAACAAAAAATCTCCAGAAAAATTCAAAGAATGCTTCACGTTAATTAATCGTCATTATTATTATTAATGATTAAATTTAAATGTATTTATAATATTGAAAACCATTGTTTTAAATAATTTAGATAAATAAATGAAACAATTAATTTTATATCTGTATGAAACTGTTACGCTTGACGATTAAATGAAATTAAATTAGTAACAAAATAAGTCGGACAAATAAAAAAAATTGTGAGATCCATGAATGTTTATAATTTTAATATCGATGACATAAATTTCAGAATTATTCAATTAGTGTCATTAAATTATCAAAAATAACAAGACATAAACAATTAAATGAAAATTCGTAGATTATATAAAAATTGCCTCAAATTAATTGAATTAAGTAAACAAATTGCATTCTAGATGCAGATGCAGATGAAGTGAGAGTTTTTTCGCGGGAAATTTCGAAATTGGCGACGACCGGTCATTTTTCCGCCAAATTGAAAAAGATAATTGATAAATTGGCATTCCCTAAGGATTGGTATGAAGACCCCCACGTGGTTTTCGATGAAGTTGATTATTCAACAAGTTGTAGTGCTTGCAAAGCTTTTGCTGCAAGTTTCATCGAATTGACAGAGAATGGAACATGTGCGGAAAAAATTAATAAAGCACTCATTAAAATTTGTGTTCGCATGAATATACAGACTGAAAGCGTTTGTCGTGGATTTATAGAACTAAATGCGGTAAATATTTAATTAACATTATAATATGAATTCATAACTTTTTTCTCTCAAACAATGATCAGTGTAATTAATTATTAAGTAATTTATACACAAATAAATTTAAACGTAAATTACGACTTCAATTGGGGGCTGAAAAGTTTTTTTTTTTAATTACGTAATTATATGAATTATGATTATATTAACGTAATTATTTATAATTGATGATTTGAAAGAAAATTACGTTTATGTAACTGTTAAATAGATTTTTTAAAGCCGAAAAAGATTATTGCTGATAATTCATTTATTTGAGAGAGAAATGCATTTTTACATTAATTTTATTAATTCGCATTCATTTTATTAATTCATATTAATTTCATTAATTCACATTAATTTCATCAATTCACATTAATTTCATTAATTCATATTGATTTCATTAATTCACATTAATTTTATTGATTCACATTAATTTCATCAATTCACATTAATTTCATTAATTCATATTGATTTCATTAATCCACATTGATTTCGTTAATCCACATCAATTTTATTAATTCACATTAATTTCATAAATTCATATTAATTGCGTATTGAAATCATTAAAGTTACGCGTTATCAAAGCTATCGATAAATATTTGAAAGACAGCCGCTTAAAAATGTAAAAATCAAAGTCCAAAATAAATAAAACAATAATGCAACTAATATGTAAATATTTCAAACTAACAACTCTACATAATATAAAGAAAGACAATGCGGAAAAGGAACATGTGCTCACATTTTTTGTGTAAATGTTGAATTTCTCTGTTGACAGCCGGTGTTCACCTGGATTGTCCAGCACAATTCAATAGTCACCGAAGACGATTTCTGCGCAGTTCCTCTGCAAAACTCTGATTGTGGGTCTCTACCTACGAGATTCGAGTGGACAGTGAAGATTGACGATAACGAGCCGAAATTACTGGACAAAAAGCGATCGAATAGTCATTTTAAAATAGTTCATGTATCAGATATTCATTATGATCCACTGTACGAGCCCTTTGGAAATGCCGAGTGCGATCAGCCCGAATGCTGCAAAAGGGGACAGGGAACATCTCCACCTGGAGCAGCACCCGCTGGATATTGGGGGGATTACCGATCATGTGATACCCCCTGGCACGCTGTTCTTGATGCTCTGGATCACATAACCAATACTCATTCGGTGATCTATTAAATAAATAATTGTGCTGCAGTCTCTAAAAATTTATGAACAGCCCAGACTAAAAGAAAAAAAAGAAAGAGGATTGTGTGATTGTTAATTATTACGGATTGTGCCATTAGTATGAAAATTTATAATTCTTTTAGGACGCACAATTTATTTATTACACTGGTGACATCGTGGATCATGGTGGATGGGAGACAACACGTCAAGGGAATAAACAAATTATATTAGATGTTTATAAGACCATGAAGAAGACATTTGGGGAAACCCCCGTGTATCCTATCATCGGCAATCACGAGGCCAATCCTTTGAACATGTAAGACTTCATTTTCAGTTATAAAATCACGGGTGGAACGATTTTTGCAAGATCTCTCACTTTCCAAATCTTGAGGAGAATTATTCAATTATAATATCATGGAAATAATCATTAGAAGATTATCTATTTTTTTAATTTTATCGAATGTTTTAATTTTCAATTATTACTGTATATATGTCTCGTATCTCAAAAAAAATTTTTCGAATACAAAATTTTCCAAAGAGAACTCTAATTTTAAAATTTTTGACATTTCAATTACTCAGTCTTTAATTTGGGATTTGAATTTTGAGGCCGAATTTTTTAGATATTTCTAATAATTCGTTCCAAGATTTATGAAAGATTTTTTAAAATCAGAAATCGTTCTGCACAGGAGATCAATTGGACTGGATTTGTTAATCAGTGAAGATATTTTCAGATTTGCGCCTGCAACAATCGATGATGAAGAAATATCAACAAAGTGGTTGTATGAATTATTAGCAGATATTTGGATTGATTCTGGGTGGCTCCCAGAGTGCACCAGAGACACAATCCTCAAAGGCGGATACTATACGGTTTCTCCGAAAAAAGGATTTCGAATAATTGGACTTAACAATAACGTAGCCTACACCAGCAATTGGTAATAAAAATGAAAGAAAGAGAAAAATGAATTTTCAATCTGCTAATTCAATTTTTTGTTCAGCGCCTTTTTTCAAGTTCTTTTTCAGGGAATATCTTGGAATCGAAAAAAAATATTGAAATTTTCATGAGAATGTTGAATGACGAATTAATTTTTGCGCGGGTAAATTTCATATCGACTCATGACGTCAGTCGATTCATATCGACCTATATCGACTCATGACGTCAGTCGATTCATATCGA